TACTAAAATAATAACTTACTGTACAAGGTTAACAAGTGGTAATAAACCCAGATATGACTGGAAAACAATCTCATACACACTACATGTTTCGACGTATACCTTGCGTCATCCTCAGGAGTGTAATGTTTTGCAAAAATAACACCTCTTTATACAGTTATCAAAACACCAATTTACATATTAAAGAATTTCACGCCATCTACTGACACGTCAGTCACATCGGGGTTTATTACCACTTGTTAACTTTGTACGGTAAGTTATTATTTTAATAATTTGGAGACTGGAAACAATCTCATTTTATTGAATTGTGTATAAAATAATCGTTGTTTTTAAATAAAACGTTTTAGTTTTCAAAAATGTGTGACATATGTTTATTTAAGATGGCCGATTTGAAACTCTAACCTTAGCGTACTTTTTCTTCTTTAGATCTGTTTATGTTTCCGTGTTTAACGAATAGTGGGATTGGCCGTCACATTTTAACACACCTACGGCTGAAAGAGCGAACATGTTCGGTGACGGGAGTATTTCTGTTTCTCTGTGAAACTTGTGTTTTTTTTTTCATTATTTAAAATATGTTGATAATTATTTGTTTATGTCATTGATTTAACTTCAAATAGCATTTAAACTACATGCATGATTTTTTCTGTGTGTATGAGGGGGGGGGGACATTAATTACAGGACAAGGTGTGTTATATATAAAACTGCTTAGGCCTAATGTGAACAGAATTGATAACGTAAGAAGTAAAATGTACATGATAATCACCATGGTGACCACTGCAAACACTGATCTGGAAATGATGATGTAATTTTTGTTAAGGAGAAGCAGTATAAATTTTTTACATTATATAAATATATGTCAGAGCCAGAGTACAGGGTTTGACAAAACTTCATACTGATGGTCACACATGTCAATTTGTGTTAACTTAACTATATAAACTGACCAAACAGGCTTAATTAGCTCATGACATACGAGTACACATGTATATAGAACATAATGAACTGACCAACTAGGTTCGAATTAACTCTTAACGTGCTTTCACTGACGAAGCAGTCTTGTGTGAACTCAAGGTCATATTGAAACTATTAAACTGACCAAGAGAACTCAAATTAACTCATAGATATAAACATAACGATAAAAACTTTAAGTGAGTTGATTTTTTTTTTCATATTCTTCTAATTATCTTATCCATAAATGCCTGTAACTATTGTGAAAACTGTCTGCTATTATCTTAATTGAATGAAATAGTTTCATGCTTGCTGTACGTCCCACTAGATGGACTTCTCAATCTGAAATACTATTTACTATTCTAATAGGGTAAATAGATGTTCGAAAACCAAATCCACGTTTGTTTTTTTTTGGAATGGTTATTTTTTTTCTACTGTTCTAACTATAGAGAAAGTCCCCAAGCTTCTACGTCAGCTAAGGTTTTCCAGTTGCAAGTTTTTCGTTTGTTTTGTGGGTTTATTGTAGAATAGTTTATAAATAAAAATAACTTAAGTATTATTCGTATTCTATACAAGTTCTTCGTTTTCTCCTCAGAAGGCAATTTCAGCTGAAACTTGTAACTCAGCTCTTGGGTAACTCTTTTCCTTTAAATAGGCATCTTTCAAAACGTTTATTTTTATTTA